TCTCTATGTGATTTTTTTAATGTAATTTTTTCCCAACACTTTACAGGTTGGAAAGAAGGCCAATAGAGCATGTTTCATCCAACCCTTTTTGCCTTGGCTGCCTCATCAGAAAGGAGGAAAAAGGATGGTTTGGGAATGGAACAGTCAGCAAAATGTGACCTGCTTCCCATTCCATTAAAAATACATGACAGAGATATTTTTTTTCTGAATTTTTTCTACACAGTTTCTGGTTGGATCTATTCCATTTTTGAATTTGACTGTTGTTTGGCAGCTTATCCTGACATATCAAATTTTCTCTTGCTCTGGTTTTGGAGTTATCCAGTTGATAAATAGTCAATCCTGAGACCTAGTAGTACATAATTTATTTCCAACATTCTGCTGGGATGGAAGAAATAAAAAGAAAGGAAATTTATATTTTTCACATGTATTCCCTTACCATAATTTTTTTAGCTTATATTACAATTTAGTAATGTAAATATATGACTTTTCTATATAGCAGCATAATTTTGTACTTAGTCTTTAAGCCCAAAGTGTTCTGCTTACATTTGGTAAAGTACACAGACCATTGGACAAATATTAAACTGTGAGGATGAAATTAATTTCTTTAAAAATGCAGTCATGAGATAATTCATCAATAAACTAGTAAATAATGAGCATATATTACTTTATTTCTGGACTTATGCCCATGATCTCTTTTCCCAACTATTGATTTCATTTAATTCCCTGATTTATTTGTAGGCTTAGGAGTGACTCCAAAGGATAGTTGGTTAGATTATCCGTTAAGTATTCCATGCCAGGTTCTTCACAACTTAGTCACATTCTATTAAGAGACTATGCTCAGGATCAAATTTTTCCTCCCTTAATAATAATCTTTGCCAACTCTTTGATTTCTAATTGGTTTTATGTTCCTAACATGTTTTGCATAAGTTCTTGGATATTTTTAGAATGTCTAGATTTCATCAAAAGCTAAAACCAGAAAGACGTGAGCATTCTAACTCTGTAGTTTCATATGAACTTGCAAACTTTAATTTGATAAATATTTGTAAATAATTTATTTGTAGCATTCAGATATTCTGAAGGCTAGAGCAGTTCAGTAGGAAATATGCATAACTTAAAACTAAAACCAGAGGTTTTCCTCTTAGGTTCTATGGATAAAAAGCTTGAAAGGAAAATTTGGATCTTTATTATTTTGTAACAGCAGAGAGAAATGTATATGTACAAAGATGGAAAGATACGTTAATTCCCACAAATGAAAGAATGTATGGTAACGTTGAGTTGGCAGATATTGCAAAATTGACTGATGTAATTAAAGGAAAGAATGCATCTAGTTTTGTTTCCATTTGGATTTTGTATTCAAAAGTGAAAAAATAAAACTCTTATTTTAGGTTTGGATGATTAGAATGATTTTATTGATATGGAAAAGACTTGAAATATCTAAAAATCTAAAACAAAAAGTTGAGGCTATAATTCTATTGCATTGCAAAATCTTGGAAATCTCTTCTTTTTATTTCTTTTGTATCTCTTTTCGCACATTTCTTTCTTGCTTTTAACTTTCTTATTTTTTGTTTATTTTTATATTTTACCTTATAATAAACTTTAATATATTTTGCTTTTAAACAAATAGGAATTAAGCATAGCTAAAACATTCTTCAGGAATACCCAGGATAAAAATGCAGGACATCATCTATACACATAACATTCTCTACTTTATTTTTAACATCTAGAGTTCTGACTGACATATTTGGTAACATAATGATTGACTTTTATTGGATCACATAAAATAATATTATCAAGAAAAATAATTAAAAATGCCTTGGAACATGTGAGTAAAGTTTAAGGAACACTAAAGGCAATTAGTTTTGCCCCATTTTAGGACCTTTCTTACCACAATGTTAAGTGACTTTCTTACCACAATGTTAAGTGAATCATTGCTGATTAAATTAATAACATGGTTGTTAGGTGAATCCCCATTGATTTTGCTTGTCAGAAAGTTGCGAAGGGTGATTTCATGACCCTGGGAGACTGCAACTGTCATAAATGTGAGTCAGTTGTCAAATGTCTGCATTTTGATTACATGACGACAAAGATGCTGCAACGGTCATAAGTGTGAAAAAGTGTCACAAGTTAATTTTTTCAGTGCTGTTGTAACTTTGAATGGTCACTAAATGAACCGTTTGTAAGTCAAGAACTACTTGTACCTTGTAATCAAAAGGGAAATGGGGTTATCAGACTTCTCTTATAGCAGCCTGGAAACAGTTAAAACCAAAGAAGCTTTTATTGTAAGATTAATGAGTAACAATGCAACAATTCCAGCCTCTTTCAAATGACGAAGCTATTTGTAGACAGATTAGGATAGGAAAGTCCTGGTTTTGATTCTCTTATTCTTTTGGTATGAAGGGTAGCAATTCAGTTCCTTTTGTGAGGGATGGGGCAGCCTACCCTTTGGAAAATAGCATTATGCTTCTTAGTATGAGAACAGGGTAGAAGAATCTGCTAAGCAACCTTTGAGAGTTAAAAATTCCCAAATAGTTCAAAATCGTGGTATCAAATTATAAAAAATACAGATTTTTTTCTGGGTGTGGTATTTCCATTGCAAGGTGAAGATAAATTATTTATAATCCTTTCTGCAATTGAAACACTTTCAGACCACCCACTTGAAATATCAAAAGCTCTAATTTTACAGTAATTAAGAAATCAATTAATTAATCCATTAATCAAATGCAATTCATAAGTTACAAGACGAGAATAGCAAAATGATCAAGCAATTTATTTACTCAATGCGTGGGCTATGTTATAAACAGCTCAAGCCAATGTTTAGACCAGGTGATGCTTTAAGATTCCTGCCTGTGGTTGGTAAGAAAACAGCTCTTCAGTGGGAGATTGCTGCCCAATTTCAGCTGGACTAAAAGAGAATTCCTTAAAAAATGAAATTTCAGGACTATTTCTTACTACACATCACTGGTAACTGCACAGGTTTCTTAGCAACTGTAACACTCGAGCACCAATTAGCATCTTTCCCTTTTAGGATGAAGCCTCTGAAACATCTAAATTTCTGAAATAATGGCATGAAAATTACAATCACAAATGCTCTTAAAAAACACTCTACTTTTTTAAAAAATCAACTTCTAAGGCACAACCTTGCTGTGACGCTGACATCTTCACTAAATTCTGAACTGGCCCTGTTTGAATTATTATTCTACCACAATTTAATAGTATCAATTCAGAATGAGCAGAAGGAAAGACAGACTGAACTACACTGCAGACATTTTTTCCACTCAGTTTTCAAAAGCAAAGGGGAAAGACATATTTCACAAACAATAGAATTTGTTTTTGTAAAATTTATTGCCTTATACAAGCTCAGTTTTTCTTTATAGGGGCCAGATTCCCGCGTATTTTTATGTGCAATTAATTATTAGGTTTATGTGCTGCAGCAAAACAACTTTCACACTTTGAGATAGTTGTATTAACTATCACCATCATCATCATTATCATCATGAGCCATAGAGGTGCACTGGTTAGAATGCAATACGGCAGGCTAATTCTGCTGATTGCCGGCTGTCAGCAGTTCGGCAGTTCGAATCTCAGCAGCTCAAAGTTGACTCAGCCTTCTATCTTCCGAAGTCAGTAAAATGAGGTCCCAGATTGCTGGAGGCAATATGCTGACTCTATAAACTGTTTAGAGAGGGCTTTAAAGCACTGTGAAGCCATAAATAAATCAAAGTGCTATTGCTATCATCATCATCATCATCATTTTAGCCATTGTCTATTCACTGCAGGATGTAGGCCACTTCAGCAATACAGTCCTGAGCTTTCTTTTGCCAATTAGGCCCACAATACTTGCTGATGTTGTTGATCCATCTTGTTTTCAGTCTCTTTTGTAGACACTTTTTTATCAAGTGGGATCCATTCTATGACTGCCTTGGTCCACCTGCCATCAGTTCTTCTTGCTATGTGACCAGCCCATTTCCATTTCTGTTCTTTTACTCTCTTGATGATTTCATTTGTTCTCTAATCCATGTGCAGGTTTTTCTATTTTGTCTTGTAATGCTGAGCATGTATCTTTCCATGGCTCTTTGCTTCACTTGTAGCTTTTGTATCTGTTGTGAGACTATGTTTCACTGGCATATGTTAGAGCAGGTAGCACACACTACATTAACATATATTAACTATATGTTTTGTATATTGCCTATATGTATTGTCTATATATTTGTTGGGCTTTAAATATTTATTTGACAGTGTGTGGGTTTGAAGTAATCCCTGATTTTTGTTAAAGAAATCAGTAATTTGCCAATTATATCACTATAATAAATATCTTTTAATACTATATATTTTGACTGAATTACATTACTCTCATCATGACCAGAGTTTTTATTCTCTCTGAATTTCAATATAGATTTCCCAGCCTCAGAGGTATGTAATTTCTTTAATGGTAGATTAACTAGGCATATTCATTGAGGTGGAGGCCTTATACAATAGCAATCTTCAGATGCCAAAAGAACTGTGACACAGAAAAAAGCAAAGCCTGAGGCCCTACAGATCAGGAATAATTTTAACGAGTTAATAAGTTAATTCAGCAATTCTCAATATTTTCCATCATGTGGACTATTACATGATAATTGAAATGGTATACAAAAAGCTTCCGTCCTGGGCCAGTCAGAATTCTTTAGTTGACAGAGTCCACAACATTTTTTAAATTTATTTATATCCCACCTTTATTATTTTTACAAATAACTGAAGATGGCAAATGTATCCACCTTCTTCCTCCTATTTTCTCCTCAACAACAACCCTGTGAGGTAGGTTGGGTTGAGAGTTAGTGACTGGCCCAAAGTCACCCAGCTGGCTACCTTCCCTGCTACCTTTATTTATTGGCTAAGGAATATGTAAGATGCCTTACATTAAACCAGTTTTATCTTTCTATCTGATTCGTAAATATCAAATATAAATCTCACTCCGTGACCCTTGAAGGAGTAATTAAAGCTGCAGGAAAGGTTAGGGCAGAATCTACAGACAAAAGGGAAAGAGCAAAACCAAACCCCCAGGACCTTGGAGAGCAGCAAATAAATTGGGCTGACTTGAGCTTTATTCTGTTACAGCAATAATTTAATGCTTTCTTCCACACAGTAAAGATTTATATTAGATAACGCGGACTTTATTTTGATTAGCTCTAGTGCCTAAGGAGTCTAAACTGTTGATGAGCCTTCGTTTTTCAGCCTCACGCTTTTAAAAGGAAAGCAATATGGAGAATCTGCTGAAGGGTTTCTGGGGTTCTTCAGGAGGCTTCTGGAAGCTTCTGAACATGGGGCTGAGTCTTGTGTCTTGTGCTGCAGTTTAAGGCTTCAAAGTATGATAGGGCCTTTCTGATTCAGAGGATGTCATAGTCCAAAGGCAAGGGAGATATTTCACATCTGTTGTTGAGGTAACAAAAGAGATTCTCCTAGCACCATTAGCAAACATTTGGAAATGCTTTATTTAAACTTCTAAATATGTTTAAGTTAATTTTTCCTTACAAAACACCCAGAGCACTTTTTATTGAGCACCGGTGTGTTGAAGAAAATCATTGTACATATGTATAAAATAATATTTTATTCTTATTTATATTACACATGTATGATTACAATATAAAACATTTCATCGAAAACATTGCAATGTAAGCTGTAAATAAAAAATGGATATACTACAGTTAACATGATTTCTACAAATGTTACCAAATGATTATTAAGCATGTTTCATTTATCTTGCCAAATTGTTGAGGCATTTGTGTATATAATAAATATGTATTTATGTACTGTATGTAAGATTTGGGGAGGAAATCTATGATATAGTTTAATAGCTGACAGAAACAATTCAGTAATACCTTGCTATTGGGATTTCTGTGAACTATATAGTTCACAGACTCTGTAAACTATGGCTGATGTCCTTGTCATCTCTTAATTGATTACTACAGTTTACTCTTCATAAGGCTGCTCTTGAAGATGACCTGGAATCTACAATTGGAACAGAATGTGGCTATCCACCTGCTGATTTGTACCAATTTATTTAAAAACATTACCTATGATGTACTTGCTCATTAATAAATCTTTTATAGCTTGAGTCATCATTATTTTTGGAATGATTTGCAGTACAGTGGTACCTTGATATTCAACTGCTGTGAAACTCATCAAATTTGGTACTCAATGCATTTTAATGCAAAAATTTTGTCCCAGTATTCAAATATGTTTGGTTCTCAACTCACAAGTTAGAACTTGTCTGTGTCGGTTGCCTTGTGACTCACTATATTACTCCTTATGGGAAAAATTTATTTGGTATTCATTGTTTTCGGTATATGTTGAGCCTCCCAGAACCAATTAATGATGAGTACCAAGGTACCACTCTATGTTGAATTTGCCTACCCAACCTGAGAGATCATGAGTCCAGGGCATGGAAGGTAGTCTAGTTAAGAGCTGTCTGTCATTCATTCATTAAAATAGTTTGTTTCCCAAGATCAAAATGATTTCCACTCTGCTAATATTTAAAAACTCTATTTAAAAATGTATTTTCTCACAAGGACCTTGGCTAGAAGCAATGATCAGATTTTAATGTGTATTTTGAATAAATTATTGTTTTTACACTTTTATAATTGTAAGCCACATAGAATCTTGTGTGAAAGTGACAGAAAACAGATTACATACAGACTTGCATACTTAAAACATTTTATTTCCCCATTTTGTTTATAATTATTTACTATATATCTTCCTTCCCAAAGTTCAAGGCAACCGAAGTAAAATGAAGCTACATTACCCTTATTACAACTCTATAGCATAGGCATAGTTTATTTTGATTATCTAGGGCCATACAGTGAATAACGTGTCATGGCTGAAAATGTTAATCTAGATATTACTGGTTCAAATCTATTACTCCATCAACTGGGCCTTTTTAACCAGTAGACAGGAGTTTCATGTTTCATTATGCCTTTCCTCTTTTAAAGTTGTTGGTCCTAGACTACATAAGACTGCTAATAGCTCTGATGTAAAGCGCAGAGCTCTTCCAAAGTTTGTTGCCCATTTGTAATATGATAGAAAAGAAAATGATTAAATGCATTGGAAGTAATAATTTTACTCGTAATTAAATTTTAATTTCATTTAATTTAACTTTTGGCCTAACCTTGATCTATTCCTTTGTCTTGGACACAGGACTTTTTAAAATATGCCTATTGGCACATAATCCAAAGGCTAAATGCTGCCCTTGATTTTGCAAAAGTTTTCTAGTCTTAGTGCCAATACCCTTTTAGCGATCTCTTCAGGGATTCCTGCAGGATTGATAGCAATTTTGCTACTGCATTTTGAGCAATGTCATTCTGAGGGGGAAAATGTGTTGTGATAAATAAGAAACTCTACCCTAGCAGTGATAGTCAATTCAAAGTCAGAGCTTCATCATAGCAATTAAGGAAGAGCAAAATATAACTTGTATCAAGTCTTATTTTTTTTTAATTCAGGGATTTGGGGAAAGATCAAGTTAATTATGCAAACTCCACAATTAATCTACCCTATGTCTGTTCAAGACTACTTAACCCAATATTGTTATACTCTTGAGTTGGAGAATAAATATTTGATTGACCTGATAGGCATGCTATCTATCATGAATATAAGGATTTGCTCTTTTTGAAAGTCAGTGTCTCCCCAGTTTGTAATCCTTTGGGAATTTAGGGTTGCAGCTAAATTCCCATTCAACATAATCTATATTAGATGTATCTCCAGGCTTTTATATATTGGGTTAGATGGCCAGCAGTAACATTAAAGTGGATCCTAGGAATAAAATCAAGTGTACACCACATAAGTATCTTTTTTCTAATTTATTTTTCACTGTATTTTGTAGTGTTCCTTAATTGTGTTACATTATAAATACAAAACTGAGTTAAATACATGAATTCATGTAAGAATTTACATCTGTATGATAAAGCTCCTATAAACTATAGGGAACATGGACATTCTTATATTTTTACAGATTGCATTTGACATTTCTAATCATGATAGGTCCTTTCTTATTCAGAGGATGTCATCGTCCAAAGGCAGGGAAGATACTTCACGTCTGCTGTTGAGGCAACAAAAGAGATTCTCCTAGCACCACTAGCAAACCTTTGGAAATGCTTCATTTAAATTTGTCAACGTGTTTATGTTAGTTTTTTCCTACAAAACACCCAGAGCACTTCCTACTGAGCACAGGTGTTGAACAACGTATTAAATATAGCAAAAGTTATCCTATGTCAGGAAAAAAGATCAGGTCCACACATGAAAGTCTAATTAAACTTATTTATTGCTAATCAGGCCTATGCACAGGAATCTTTTCAACTCACTGTTAACACCTGCTTGGAGTTAGATAAGGATCAACAGAATTGAAGGAGGAGTAAGACTTAGTTTGCTTGGGATTCTAGACTGATCCTTCTTTTAATGTCTCTCTCTCTCTCACACACACACACACACATACACACAGGTTCTTCTACTCTTCTACATCCGACCACTTTCTAGTATTTTAGAAGGGCAGAAGGTGAATTGTTTTATTTTGAGTTTGGCATGCGTGTGGTTTTTCTACCCAGACTGAAAGAACATTATGCCAACTGGTGAATTACCATGGACAGGGTTGCCTCCATCACAGTATATTCCAATTATGGTGTAGTTCCTAAATATTTTTTTTAATTAAAAACTATTTTTTAATTTAAAAAAAACCTATTCTTAGAGAGATTGGAAATTGTACCAATGGTGGCTTTTACATGTTGAGCAGATCCATGGCTGAAATTTGCAGTAAAACTTTGTGTCCTATGAAAACTGTGATTCTTAAGATAAAAGGCTTTGAAAACATACAGTCAAGAAATGAGACTTAAGCTTTAGGAAACTGCAGATTCTTCCTGGATAAAAGCCATTACCATCTAATGATTAAATTGTATAATGACACTATCCACAAATACTCTTGGTCACTTGCTTATTCCAAATCTATTGGTTGTACTGAAATAATTGAAATGTTGTGAAACATTCTCTGTACAAGCTTCATTTCTGCTGCCTTCATCTGTACAAATCTCCATGAAGGATTGCCATCAGCAAAATCGATGCCAAGCATCGTGTTTCAGAACTGTGAAATTTGCTTTCCAGAGCAAGGAAATTCAGTATGAAGGGCACAGTACCATCGTACCAGGCATTGCTGTAATAGACAATCTTACAAAATATATCATTTGTGTCATTAAAAAGAGTAAAGACAACAAAATGTTCCGAGGAAATACCTGGAAGAATATTGTTCTCTACACATGCTTCCTCACTTTCACAGTGTTAAAAATTGATTTCAGGATTTCCATCTTTCAGAATGTTATCAATATATAAAACAAAACCATCAAAGAAAAAGAAACACATGATCAGATGAGATGAAGATATTTCATATCCAGAGCATCTCGGAACTCAGCAACAATGTGACTTCTGCTTTTCTTCCTTTATTTCACATAATTTCTTCTTTATCTTAAGATTCACAGTCACTGTATAAAATTTTTAAAAGATTAAACTTCATCTCAACATCTGAGGAAAGTTTCTTTTTTTGAATGCTCACTTTTTATTTCTTTGTTCTAACTAGGTTATGGCCAGTACAGTTTCAATGTTTAACTGAGATTTTTATTTTCATATTTTCAAGGCTATTTGTCATTAATTAAATATAAGCCATGAATATATGTATTAATATCAGTGTATAAATGTCCAAATTACACAGAATCTACTGTCATACAGAATAACAGAATTCTGGATTTGCTGCAACTAGGAGAATGGTTGTGAAATCTAACAAGAAAGGGTTTGTAATCTTCCATGTTTGCACACAAACTGATCAAGGAGAGAAGCAACCTAGAACTAAGGAGAAATTTATTGACAATTAGAACAATTAATAATTGGAACAACTTGTCTCCAGAAGTTGTGGGTGCTCCAACACTGGAGGTTTTTAAGAAGAGATTGGATAACTATTTGTCTGAAATCATATAGGATTTTCTGTTAGAGCCGGGTCTTGGACTAGAAGGCCTCAAAAGTCCCTTCCAACTCTGTTGTTTTTCTGTTAAGACGTTTACACACATTGAGTGAAGAGATCCCCTATCTGTTTTCTCAGAAACTCTTCGTGTTTTTTTTTCCTCAAAAGAAATATATAAAATACTTTAACTATGGGCCAGTCTGAAACCCATAGCTCTCTTCCAGGAATCTATGATTGTGATATAAAATTAATCATATTTCCTTCAATATTTCATTAGTTATAGAGTTACCATATTTCTGTGGGGTTCTGTACTAAAAAAAGATTTCCACATGTCAGATCCCCTCTTGAATCTACTTCTTGTTTTTGTTTACCAAATACTCCCTCCTATTTTGTTCACCCACCCCAGATACAATAGCTTGTAGTGATCTAACTATGTGCATATTAGTAATTATATATCTAAAATGTGTCCCGGAGTCATATGGCCAGGAGCTAGAAGATATCAAGCAGAATATAGAAAATAATTTACTGATCAAAAGAGAGATGAGGTTCAGTAATATGGCAAAAGGTTTTAACTTTCAACTGTTACACAAAAAATAATAATAATACTTGCCTATCTCTTAAAGGAGCAAAACAAAGGAAATTGACCCTTAAACATTGGGCAATGAACTCTTACCTTTCTCAGCTGTAATGCTGGAGGTTTTATTTAGCATTTTTTTTAAAAAATTACCCATATTTTAAAATCTGTAGTAACTGCCCGTAAATTGATTACTTCTACATATCTTAGCCTTCATGTTCAACTATAGAATACAAGCCTTGATTTGATTACTCTGGATTGAACTCTTATGTAACTCTTTTGGTTAGCTCTAGAAATTGTGTTTAAAAGATTGATTTAGAAAAAACTCATAGGATATTTTTACAGGTCACAGGAGATCACACTGTATGTAAATGTGGTATAATAGCTAATCTTTCCCAACACTTTCCCAACATTTTCCAACTGATTGGGTTGTCCATGCTTTTCTTCTCCTACTCTCACTAGCAATACTAGCTGTGTTTGGACTGCAAATGGCGGTGTGGGTGTGGGTGGGAAATGAGTATACTTCCAGGATTTCTGACATGCGCTAGATTGTAGACCTCTCCACTAGAGCAAATGGTAAGAGATCTTCCTACCCAGAGATTTTATTCAGGGGTTTGTTTGTTTTTTGCCCCTCATGCTGCAGTTATCCCAGAGAGGCTTATTTTTCTACATCTTTTACTTTAGCAAAACATGCAATTATTGTGAATTAGAGTCACAGTATATGAGCCTATACTTGCACCATCATTTACAATAAGGTAGAGCCATCTAGTGGTAACAATCATTCTTCCTTTCTCCTTTCCTCTCCATTTATTTGGCTTTTCTAATCAACGAGATAGTCAGGGACATCATCCCATGTATTCTGCTGAACTCTCCACTTGAAAATGTTACTAAGATGGGAAAATAAATTGGATTTATTTGCCTTCTCAAATACAATGATATTTTAATAACCTTGAAAAGAACTGTAGCACTAAGTTTAAGGGTTGAATTTATAAAGGCCATTTGTAAAATTCTTGGACATTGACAGTGAGAAAAAAAATTAAGAGCATGTTTTAAATTATGTTTTCATATTATACAATAATACTATAAGTTGCATTTGGAAAGAAAGTGAAATTTATCTCTATGCCTTGCACAATCGGGTGCAAGTTCATTTAACGTGTTTACTACTATAGCAACCCAGAGAACCTCATCTTAGGTCTTCCTTCTCACAAAACTAATTTAGAAGCCCTTCTCCTAATTCTCAGGTTTAGAAAGCCCAGAAAGGAAGTAGAAGAAAAGAAAAATGCCATTTCCCCCAGTACTACGGAGTTGGTTTTGACCATGGAAAACTGCTCCGTTGCAGTTCAATCATTACAGAACTAAGGAACAAGCAGGACTGTTACCTGAATCTCTATGGCATTTCTGATAGACCATTTGCACAAGGAAGCCTCTGCTCAATCTCCCAAGAGATTGTTTTCTGAAGTTGCCAAAATAAATATAGGTAGTCCTCAACTTACAACCACAACGGAGCCCAAAATTTCTGTTGTTAAGCAAAACATTTGTTACATGAGTTTTGCCCCATTTTACGACTTTTCTGGCCACAGTTGTTATGTGAATCACTGCAGCTGAAAAGCTAGTAACCTGGTTGTTAAGTGAATCTGGCTTCCCCATTGACTTTGCTTGTCAGAAGGTCGCAAAAGGGAATCACGTGACCCCAGGACACTGCAACCGTCATAAATATGAGTCAGTTGCCAAGCGTCTAAATTTTGATCACATGACCATGGGCAGGTTATGCCCATGATAACTATGAAAAACAGCTACTTTTTCAGAGTCATTGTAACTTCAAGTGGTCACTAAGTGAACTGTTGTAAGTCGAGGACTACCTGTACAGGCTATGGTTTGAGGAAAACAGTTTTTTTTTTAATTAGACACAAGCGAGATATCAAGGAATAAGGGGAAAGAGGAAGAGGTAACATTTCTGCAATTGTGGATCTACTGACAGTGTCATTTTTAGAAACTGAGAATTGTAAGTACCTTGGGTTGGTGTTAGAATCTTTCTCTTCGTTTACAGGGGGCAAATAATCACTTTCTCCTGTGAAAAGACAATGAACTGTTAGTTTTGCGAATTGGCGGGACCGCAATTCAGTTGGAATAGCAGTGTCTGGGCTCCTGCAGAATGTAGATATAGGTTTTCCCCCCTCTCCCCCCCAAAAATAGTATGGTTATGTTAAAAATATCTCAGAAGCCATGGTAGCCTTTGTTTCATTTATCGCAATGCATTCTGTGCACGGCTCTCCTCTCCAGCATTTTGCTTTTGCCAACCAGCTAAAAATAAAATGGATAATAATAAACTGTCCATTGTATGATTGTGAATTGCTATATCTGTATTCCGTTGGTTTACTCTTGCTGTGGAGTTTGTGGATTTTATGCTGTGACTTAGCAGGACCTATCAAGTATGATGCTGCAAACCAATGCTCAAAATCCATTGAGAGTCTACAGAGTTACCCTGTGGTAACATGGGCAGCAAATGAATGGATGGATGGATGGATGGACGGACGGACGGACAGACAGACAGACAGACAGACAGACAGACAGACAGACAGACAGACAGAAAGCCAGATATCAAACCACTGGCAAGTACTATCACATATAATGCCTAGCATTCCATCTTTTGCCATATAGTAGAAGATCAGACTTACTGTCATTCATATTATTTGGCAAGTGCTAGTGTTGCCAACCAGAGATAAGTGGCATTGCATTGTATGCAGTGTAGAGGCATACAATGAATACCTACCTAACCCTAACAAAATCTCTCAGCTTTTATAAAATCTGACCCTTTTGTTATTTTGGTATAAAACTATATACCACTCCATTTTAGGTCCTATCTATGCTATAGGTGCAGATATTTTGTGGTTTTCCAAAATGATTAACTTAGCAGGACTATCTACCAGTTTTCTTAAGGCTTGTTTAGGTGTACACAATGTAATTGTGTGTTTCATGGGATTTTGCTGTTGAGCACAATCTATTTCTTTGAAGAGACGTGAAAGTTTTGGAGAGAGGAAAAATACAATTAAAAATATATGCAGTATCAGAAAATTGAATAATTTACTACTGCAGCTCTATAAGCATGCAACTCCAGAAGTCTTGTACATGGTCTCAGAACTCCTTTGCAAAGTATCATCAAATTACAAATTGAAATAATGCAAAAGGGAGAAATGATTAAATGTATGCAAAATATTACATTAAACTATATATAATTAATTGAATTTAAATTCAGTCCAATTCAGTTATGTCCTGATGTGGCATTCAGATTAAGTATGTCCTTAGTTCCAATTCAGATTAAGTATGTCCTTAGTACCAATATGGTTGTGCAAATGAAAATGCTACAACCCTCTCCCAAATTTATAGAAATTCTTAGTAATTCAGTCTTCAAGTCAATCTATGCTTTATAAAGTTTCATAAAACAGGAAGGCAAGGAAGTGAGTCACTTTATTAAAATAATACTCCTATTCTGGCTCAGTTAGAAAATGAGATGCCAGGTTTATGAATGCTGTACAAACAAATGAGGGATTAGATTGTTTCTGCAAACTGAGGCTTAATTTTCATACAGCTTAATCAAGACCTGTGATTATGCCTTCTCAAGCCTGATTTATCATAAATCAGTATTCATTTCAGTATTTATTGGACAAACATGGCTGGACATATGACCATAAAAAAAGAACAAATATTCACTGTGAATTAGTGGGCTGGCACTTTTAAGGATACACATTTTTTAGTCAGGGCGTGGAATTGATCTATGTTAGACTAGAGAAAGAGATTTATACATTTCCACTCTTAGTTGGAGCAAATTGTTGTCTCTGCAGATTTTTGTCTGTATGGGTATCTGCTACAAATGGGTCAAATTGATAACAATAACGCACATTTTAATAAACCACTAATACTCTGCCACCATTGCTTTCTCTTATGCAAATAATACATAAATTCCTACTGTGCAAAGGAATAATATAACATATTCAATGATCTGCAAGTAGTGCATATTTTCAGTCCTACTATAAGGGAAGAGTGGAAGCAATCAAACTCTGGCCATTGAGTAGAAGATAAGTTTTGTGCAAAGTCACAAGGGATAAGTTTTATATGGACTGTACTTTCCAGTGTAAATGTTGTTGTACAACTTGCATACGAATTTTACCTGACGTGCAGTTTCCTCCTTGCATGTCTGGTCTTTTTAGATTTATTCTAAACTAGATTCTTGGTGTGCAGGGTATTAACTATTGAACTAAAACTCATAGCTAGCTATCCAGTCCAACTCAACAGGAGTGATGAGTGTTATAATCCAATCTATCAGGAAGGTGGGAGGCTAGAAGGGGGACTCTAAACCTCTGTTCTTCTTGTTTGCTTACAATTTTTTACAAATATAAAGATTTTTATGGCTGTCCATCTTAGAGCACAGCTCTGGGTGGCTGACAATAACAATGAAACCACAAACAGTAAAAACCATAAAAATTAAACTAAACACTAAATCCTAAGCCCCAGTCATCCTCCTGGGATCGCAATGGAACAACTTGCCATAGCCAACTCACTGTGGCCAACTTGTCATGGCCAACTCACCACAGCCAACTCACCATGGCCAACTTGCCAGGCCAACTTGTTGCAGGACAATTTCACAATTCTATTTAAAGCAAATAACAATTTATTAAATTATTTAAAGTACTTAAAATTATTATAATTTTTGCCATTTACATTTCATTCTGTCCGTCCTTTTGCATCCTTTCTTCAATGATTCTATTCATTTCTTTGATATTAGCGTAACTCTTGTCCCACAGTGAGTTGTGCTGTGGCGAGTTGTCCATGGTGAGTTGTCCTACAGCAATTTGGCCATGACAAGTGTCCATGGTGAGTTGGCTGTATCAGATTGCCATAACAAATGATCCAGTAATCAGTCAAAGTCTTGATGCCTACATATATTTCTCCTTTCCTGATTTATTCTGTCATTTTTCTCTAAGAGCCAAACATTGTGAATGTCTTTCTTGGACAAACAGCTTGATCCTATATTCCCCCTTTCAAGCAGCTTGATTTAATCCAGTGAAAGAGACAAACATGCTTAGTGATTAAAATAAAGAATCCAAGAAACACATCTTAAATATAATTGTATATGCAGTCTTTGCTTCCAGACTGGACTAGAATCACAGAGAGGAAATTATGAAGGAGAAAAATCTTCCATTCCAGATAATGGCAGCTAGGCAGTCAATCTAAAAATCTACACAAATGGCCCCAAATGGTCCTTGCCTACTTTGCAGAATTATCCCAAAGAGAGAACTGAAGAAAAAGCTCTAGAAGCTGTGAATCAGTTGTGAAGTATATTATAAATTAATGCCAATGGCCTCCCTTTAACGTTAAAATCCTGCTAATTTCAATGAACACCAGGTTCATTTTAAAATATCACAAACATTTATATGTTCAGAATAAAATATAATTTATGTAAAGGACATCTTTTTGTATTAGCTCTTCTTTAAAAATTAAAGTTCTTAAAATAAAGAGCTTATCTTTCTGCTCCCATTTTATGATGTGTATTATCTACAACTGTTTAAAATATTTATCAATGTCAGAGACAGACATACCAGGGAAGAAAAAAATCATAAGTCAGATGGGGATAAATACACACCATTTTTTTTCAAGCTGTTCATCCATTTATCCAGTTCTTCCATCTCAATTTCCATTACAGAAGGTGTATCTTCTTCAAAAATAGGACTGAATAAGAAAACAAAATATTTTGGAGCTGGCAATTTACAATTGCTCTTCTTTAGTTTTCCAATAAAATTGTTTATATCAGACGCATGCTCAAGGATAGCTAAGTGGCTTTAGTTTGGAAAAATAAATATTATTAATTAGATTACATTGCAGTTGAATTAGCAACTGCAGAACATAGATATCATAAGATACGTAGATGTGCACATGCAAAAAAGCCAGAAGATTTGTGGCATAAATGCGTAAATTGATTCAGAGGATTATGAAGATTAATGCTGAACAATTAAAACAGAACTTTAGCTCTTGAGACTAATGGTTAAACAGTTGGGAAAAATCATGGAATGTTGTTTTTATATATGATAACCACAGAGGTTATTGTACATGCAAAGATGGAAAGATTTGGCAGTACCTACAATGGAGGAATAGTTGGTGAAGATGATAGAACTTGCTGAGATGGTGAAATTGACCTATTTGATTAGAGAAAAGTCAATGCAGGTAGTCCTTAGCTTATGACCATGAGACCAGAATTATGGTCATAAGGCAGCCATTAAGCAGGTTATCACATTACTGTGCCTTGATTTTACAATCTTTTTTGGCAGCATTTGTAAAATTAATGCTATGGTCATTAAGTGAATGCAGCAGCTGTTAACAAATACAGAAATTGTTAAACAAACATGTTTTCTTCTAGGGGCCACACAACATGGACTTTGTAGTATTGTTGTACTTGATAAATAGCATGGGTTTTTCTTGTATTTTAATTTGATTTTTAACCTCTTTTAATTTGAGATCAATAGCTTATCTAACTATGGCCGATTATAATGTAGAAACATCTTTATTCTGTTGCTGGGTGAATGGATTGATAATTTCTAGCATTCCTAAACCACAAGATAAAACAATCTTGGCTCTCCAGCCCAGAATAGAATAGGATCATATATGTCTAAATAGGATGACTGTAGTTTGTTTCTGATAAAAGACAGAGCTTGTTAATATTAATTGGCGACTGCTTTGTCTCTTTGTAAACTCTAAGCAGCCTTATGGCATTTTCCTTCATTAATATCTTAAATTTTAACCCCCTTGTTTGTCAGAGCTCATTTAAATGTGGTATTATGGATGCAAATATGTGATAAGTTTAACTTCATGTGAATTATTTCCTATGAAAAGGGGAAGATACTTTTGTCCTGTCCAATCAACTTTTCTTTTGTAATTTCTTTTAATGTCTTAATTATAAAAGGGAATATAAGATGAGTCTTGAGGTTCTCTCTTTGAATGAGAGGAATTCTTTTTATCAGAATGTTCTGAATAAATCATAATAAAATGATCTTCCTGCCTCAGTCATTTAATTCAATTTATTGAATTTATGCATGCCTAGGGCCAGATTTGGCTGTCACTATTATGGATATTATTTTTTTTTGCTGGAAACCAGAAATAAACACCAGAACCAGGAAAAATATGCAGAAAAACAGTCATATGACTGTAGGACGCTGCAACTGCCATCCATATGAACTGGTTGCTAAGCACCCAAAATTAAGGTGACCAACTTTTTTTACAATGAGAAGGAGGACAGAAATAAACTGAAGAAAAAAAATAAAGCCACTTGTGCACGGTGTTCTCTTGTGCGTGGCACACTCTCTCAAAACAATTCTCCTGTGTGGAGTGCATGCGTCTCATAATCATGTCTCGCCGCACTGTACCGAGCCTTGACAAATCGTCATGTCAAATACAAATACGTCACATCACACACAACGGATTGGATCGGCATCAATCAAACACGGAGATTTACAGATTAGTCTTCAAATATCAAAAAGGAAGATATGTAGGAGGACACTTTTCAAGAGAGGACAGAACTTACAAAAGAAGGACTGTCCTCCCTAAAGGAGGACAATTGGTCACCTTACCAAAATGCAACCACACGTCATTGCAGAGTATAGGTATGTGTGTGTATATCACCATCAGGATTCCACAATAGGTCGTAAGTAGCTCTGGAGAAGTCTATCATCTCTTCAGACAGTTGCTAAGTGACTGGTCATTAAACAAGGACTACCCTGGTCTATATTTATTGTTGACTGGAAACCTTTAAGGATTTTGGTTTTTTTCATAAAACAGTAAAAAGATGAACGTATGACCTATGGTTCCGATGATTAGATAGGACAGATTATAGAAAGAAGAGAGTAATGATATAACTCTAAAACAAGAGGTGGGGAACTATGACTTTATGGCTTTTGGACTTCAATACCCAGAATTCCTGTGCCAGCTTTAAAATATAAATAATGAATGACAAGAAGCAGGCCTATAAATTTCTTACCTTTTACCATTTTCACTTGCTAGCTCATCTGAGGAAGAAAAAAAAGAGATGTGCTTAAGCCAGCTGGATGGGAATCACAGGAACTAAATCCAACACATTAGCAGACCGAAGATTGGGAAAGGCTAGCGCATGCAAACTATCCACCAATGTTACTGGTGAAGAAACTTTAAATAACCTATAGCACATTTATAGAGTAGAAGAAATATCCCTATAATGACTTGTCTGCAACTTTGATAAAAACAAATGCAGAATAAGGCCCAAGGCTCATAGAAAAATAGTAGTTAAAATCTTTTTCCCTTTCAGAATGAAATGAAAGGGCATACACTGGCATAATTTACATTTCCCTGTAGTTTAACATCTTTATCCACTTCTTTTGAAACCCTATCAGGCCTGCTTCAACAGAATAATGTCCCCTGCATAAAAGCCCTTAGCCTATTTTCTTGGACTCCTTAGTGTCAAGGCAATGATCACATAGATGCTATGAGAGTGCACTGCAGGGAATGGACAGGTGTGATCCATTCTCCATCACTTTTATTTTTTTTCAAGTTAAGTCCAATATGAGTTATTTGTGTTTCAGCAAATACTCTAATATGTGCCTTCATTCTGCTCTTGGGGACTCCAAGGCACTCCCCCAATGAGTAGCTAAGAAACAAGATTCTACTTGACTCAGCTCACCTTTGCATTTGTCTGCTAAAGGAATGGCTTTATGCCATGCTTCTCAGAGAAGTTGGGAGTGCTACTCCTCACCAAAAGCATATTGGTTGGAAATTGGGGGATTGAAGCCCTGCCACACTTGCATACCCTTGGGTATGCAAATATTAGATGTACTAAGATGTAAACTAGTAAGAAGGTGAAAAGAGGGAGAAAGGTTGGGTGGGTGGGAGGGAGATAGATTTTAATCCCAGGTAAAAATTAATAGATGAAGTAAATTGGATGACTTTGGTATACAGGTGAATGAGTAGAAAAGAAACTCTCTGTTTGTCTTATTTTGTAAGGACCCATAAGTGCCCAGATTTTATTGGAAAGGCAGATCATAGGTATCCCCAAGAAAAGTGAGGATGGAGCATTGCTTAATAACTTGTTCAGAGATTCTACATATAACATTTGTGAAGTGATAGCCATAGAGTGCACTTTATCAACAATAAGAGAGATTTTCTTTGCTTTTGCAAATAAAAATTTTTTAAAAATTTTTTGTTTGTGATCCGTTACTAAAATTTTGTGCAGTGTAGGATTATTGGGAAGCCTGTTCTATCATAGAAGTGAGGCTAGTACCCATAAATGAGGTACTAAATGAGGCTAGTACCCATAGCAGAGATAGATGCTCTAGATCAGGGGTGTCCAACCTTGATAACGTTAAGCCTGGAGGACTTCAACTCCCAGAATTCTGGGAGTTGAAGTCCTCCAGGCTTAACGTTACCAAGGTTGGACACCCCTGCTCTAGATAGAAGTGGTTTTATGTGTTTTGCATTACCATAAAATAGTTCATTAGTTTTTTTCCCTTCCTGTATAACTCAAACTGCAATGATAACACATCAGACCTGTTTATACTTGAAAGAAGGTTTTTTTACACTGTTGCTGACTAAGCTAAGAGGGCTTTATAAGACATAAATCTAATTGGGACATTCCCTTTACAGCATGAATGCTATTTTCTCCCACATGACCCTTATTTCCCTACCCAGGTGATATTAATATTTACCTTCTTGCCTTTGTTTCTTTTTGCGACGTTTTACAATAAAGATGACCAGGATAATCAAGAGGACTAAGAGCAACACTACAGAAACTCCAATTATCACGGCAGTATGTAAACCGGACTCTTCCTCATTCATTTCTGTGGCAGAAGTACTTTCCATTGCAGTATCCTCAGTTTCAGTGGGTGTTGTGGCATTTTGCTCTTCTGATTTATTAGCAGAAATTGAAAATAAAACAGAACTAATAGATCCTATTGTGGTGGCCACAGTAGACGGTATGCCATCACCAGACTGTTCATTATCTGCCATTGTAGTTACGGACTCTATAAAAAAGGAAAAACAACCAATATTATTAATCTATTAATATTATTGTAAATATTTATATTTTGATCTCTAACATTCTGACAAAGTAAGGATGAGTACAGTATAATTGTTCAAGAACTGCTATTGATAATTAAATTATCATATTGGGATTTATCTTGCAACTATCTTCCCCTGATTATGTAATGATTCATACTTCCTCGTTCGATGGATATTCATTTTCACCAGGTTTGGTCAAGACTCAAAGGGTAATAAGGTAATAATCCAGTTGAATGTTCTTTTTATGAATAACTACAAAGCATTCAGGAAAATGAAATTTAACCCAAATTGTACAAAAATTAGTAGACAGTGACAAAAAGTTGAATTAAAAAACTAGCAGGAAAATTACTGGAAGGTTTTTCAGTTAACATGCACACATAACAGGCTTTTTTCATCTTTCATTTTGAGGTTTAATTTGGCATTTGAGTATAATTGCATTATTTGCTTTTTCACTCAAATGATACATCTCTGTGGTTTTCATATTTTTCACCCAAAATAAGCTTTTGCATTCTACTTAGGTATCTTGCAAGAAATCCTTGCCACATTGGTTTACTTCCAATCCATTTTCAAGCAAGAGTATTTTAAACAATGAAAGAAACTCCCACTATTTCTTATGTTCTGCCCCTCTTTGCTCTCTTGAATCTTCTGTGAGAACATACAGAAGTGGGTATTAATAGGAAAAGCAAATAATGTTTAGGTGGCATGCCAAGCCAGTCTTTGTGGGTACCTGGTTTATTTCTACCACCAACCCCTTTTCTTTCTAGGACATTAGAAACACAAATGTTCAGATGCCAAATAGATTGTTTTAAATAACTGAACTAGTGAGCAAATCCTTTCTCATTTGGTTTTATATGTACTATTATTGTGTTGTGGTTCGCCAGCAGCCTGTGCAGATGGCAGCTGAATCAGACAGTAGGGAAGAATGGGGACCAGTTCGGGAGTCTGGAGACGACTCAGATGAGGGTCCTGCGTCTGATGCAGAGATGGGGTCAGGACCATCTGGGAGTGGGGTGCTGCCTCCAGAACCTCCAGAGTCTGTCAGCAGCGAGGCAGAGGAACAAGGGGAGCCTGTTCCCAGTGTGCGTATGCACAGAGCTGCTAGAAGGCAAAAGCAGCTGAGACAAAAGGGGCAACTCAGAAGTCAGGTTTGGAGGTGATTCCCATAAGGTACAAAGGACAGGCAAAGGTGATGAAACCTTTGTAGGAAGCAAAAATTCTTTGTTCTGTTCAGATTAATCCTTGAAGCTCTGTGTGGACTTTGTACTTCAGTTGGTTTTTTTATAGTTCATTTGACACTTTTGTTGTTGGCAGCAATTCATAGGAGAGAAAGGCAGGTGCTTATCTCGAGGAACTGTTTGAGACTTATTACAGGCTGGGAATGAACATATTTCCCAGCACTGAAATAAAACAACAGTTGTTTTAACTAAGTGTGTGCTTAATTACGGTCTCAGGAAGCCTTGGTCAGAACATTGTGTGGTTCCCACTATTTTTGTAATAATGAACAAATGAATCGTATACACACATGGATGTGGATGTTTGTATCTATATATGTACACACACAAATACAGATGGTTTCTGAAATTAGTCAGGTAAAAAACGGACTTTCAAATTCAGAGCAAAAGGTTTACTGCTGGAGCTGTAAAAAAAGAGAAATCAATGAACAAAAACCCGTTTAAAAAGGTATTCTGATTTATTAATCAGTAATACATCATGACAATAAATCCATTCTCTCCAAGTATTGAATTCAAAATGCATTCCGAAAGCTTGATGTTATTGTTGGTGAGAAGTAAATATTTGTTCTTGCCTTCAACAGCAACACATACTTCAGACACTTTGCAAATTAATTGCTCCCAAAATAACTTCAGTCTGAGATCTGTCACTCCCCCATCTATGCCAGATACTTAGGGAGAGATGGGGAAGAGAGATAAAATAATGCAACAGTTGATTGTTGCAACATACCAATATTATGGCTAAAGAACTTCTGACTACATGGCTAGGATAACTTTATCCATCTTTGTTTGACACAGAAATCAGCATATCAAATGAATTCACTAAGAGTGAATTAAAACCGTTACAATTACATTGGCCAACTTATTGGAATTCATTCCAAAAGTGTTCAATAGAAGCCAACTATATGAATATCGTGTAGAGAAAATTCTAACCTAACCAATTCATAAATTGTTTGGCAAAGCTGTCTGTGAGTAAATGGGCATCTTTAAAGTCATGTCATTCTGAAGAAAAGATCTAAAATTGCATGTTGGCCAGGTATTTTGGAGAATTCCCACAATTGCTCTTGCTATTGGCCATCCTAGCTGAAGAAGATGGAGGTCAAACTCTGAAATATGTTTACAGCATCAGGTTGCCTGTTCCTTGTTGTGCTGTCCCAGTCAGTCTATGGGAATTCAATAGTTACTTAGGAATTATGAGCTGTCCCCTTAAGGGAATGTATCTTGGTAAATGTAGTTAAAGGTATCCTGGGAAATGTAGTCCATGTCACGTGACCACATCTGTAATCCTGATCTGAATTGACTCTTGGTGGGTTGGGGGAGGTTTTCCTCACTTTTTCCTGAACTCTCTAACTCATGGCAGCTTCTTTCTATTGCTACGAGATGGGTTAGGAGATAACCATCTTTTACTACAAGGATTGGTCATTAAAGAAAAACTTTGTCACAAATGTGAGTTATGAGGATACCTGATGAACCAATAAATGTACTTTGTTATGGATGTCTTGTTGAGTTATCTATCTGCATCTGTACAGCTTCAAATCCACCTCTGTACAGGATACAGAAAAGTTGTTTAAATTATGAGTAGACAGTCTGCAATTAAGAGCTGCTTGATGTGCCACAGTGAGCCTGTGTAGAAGGAAAAACACATTCAACTAAAATGCCCCTGTCCCTCCATATCCCAGTCTCATTTAAGGATACTTGCTTGCAGATTGATCAATCCAGCCTTTCATAAAGATCTCAGCTGTGATGGTATGCATGGTGATGACAAGGGGTAAAAGGAAGAAAGAGCACCAGACTGTGACAGGGCAATGATTACAGAGTGACTAATGGCGGGTGCAGCAGACAAGTCTTGGCAATAATGAGAAGGGAGATTTCCCAAGAAAAATGTTGACCAAACCTTTATTAAAGTCCAGTTACTGGCAAGCTTCTTCACTTTCATTCAATCCTATTCATGCTGGACAGGAAGAATCCTTTTTCTTCCTGTCAGTCTGGTGCCATCCCAATCAAATGTGTGTCCTCTTTTTTCTGTATCCAAGTGATTTCCTTCTGCCATTAAGGATCATCTGCCTGATGGAGACTGGAGCATGCATTCTTAACAGCAGGAAATGCATGATAGGAATGAGCAAACAGGCTCTGCAATGAGTCCTGGGAGACTGATGGATGGAGACCAGTGAAGCACATGTTAATGGTATTATGTATATACGAAAAAAAACTTGTGAATGTGTGACCCTGTTTTGCAATCTTTGTACTTTTGGAACTAAAAAATATACTTGTATGCATCTTGGCCTTGGGATAGTGGTGATAAAGTGAGATAAATATATCAATTAATTTTTAATAAAAATAAAACCACTATTTCCCCCACATATAAAAGCTTTCCATCTGAAATTAATTATTAACATGGCAAAGCATCCCAGCCTATGAGTTCCCAACGGCAGTGATTACAAGCCAGAAAGGGCTACATGACAGCATCGTCTTGTAGTCTAGGTAGATAAAACCCTTCTTTCAAGTTGGGTATATACGTTCTAGGTGAATCAACATCTCCTGCCCTTAAAAAGCCATCATTGTATTGTTCTTAGAAAAATAAATAGTTGAGGGAGTGAGGTAAGTGAAAAGAAAAATTCATGCTTATAAAATTTAGTCCTATCAGCAATTACTTCTGTGTGAGCTAAAATTCTGACAGTGGACAGTTCCAATCCGCATGGAAGCATGTGTCTCTCTCGAGGCGAAAGCTCCCAGATGCAGATAATACTCTTTGCACACATAGAGAGCCTCTTTGTTTATTATCTGGGGTGACTAGAAGCGGGCAGGAGCTACTATTCAGTTCCTTTATGTTGGACTGAACCCACCTGGATTGAACACATGAAACTTGCTGCTCCTTCAGACTAAGTAGATATTCATGGTATTTTTGTTTAATACAGTAAACCATAACACCAGATTAATAAATGCATATGCAGCACTACATTACAGTGCTTTAATAAGATTTTTTTTAATGAAGTAAATATTTGTTTCAAGTTGTTTTTTTTTTGCATAAGGTCATGTAAATAGTCCATTTGAAAAGACACCGGATATAGATACTTCTCCTCCCCCTTGTTTACCTTCTAAAACAATAAGCTTCATTCTGCTGTTCTTTGCATGTTCTTTGTTAGGAGGAATTACTTTTGATTTTCTTGCTTGCTGCCTTCCATGCCTTATTTTAAAGATCTCACAAACCCCAGGAGCAAATGGGGAAAAGTAGAGGCTGCAAAGGAAAGGGAGATGTGTGGAAGCTGCAGTTTTTCCCATGAAAAACAATCTTAAGCCTGTGGAATTCACTAGGGACTACTTTAAGAACTTTATCTCTGCATGAGGAGTGAGGATAGGTGAGGAGTTAGAATTTCAGGCAAAGGGTAGTATCTCAGAAGACATAGAATGTGAAGAAAGGAACCTTCCAAATGGTTTGTAACCCAAATGGGTAACCTTCAAGTACACCTCTAATAGTTGTTCAGTTTGATCCAACAGATCAATATATGAAGTGTGTTTCATCATGGAGTGACCCAAACCATGGTATTGATCTAATACAGGGGTGTCAAACTGGTGGTCCATGGGCCGGATGCATCACACTCAGGCCATGCCTATCTCAGCTCCGTGAAGGGGGAAAATGTTGTGATATGCCACATGACAGCTACAGGTTTGACATCTGTGATCTAATATATTTAAGCAGTTTGATGCAGAGCCATGCAATGCTATTAAACCTAGATAACTTGAAATTTTTGGGTTCTTCTTATCTGGTTTTTTCACATTTGTCTATTCTGATATGACATATGCTTGAGTTCTCATAGAAAGACATATATATTGCATCCACATTTGCATAAACTATCTTGATTTGTATGTCAAATAATATTAATTAATTTAGTGCTTACCGGAGCAAGAACTGAAATCTTTTGTTATTCTTTTGAACATTCCTTTTTATAGAGACTCCTTTAGCAGTTTAAAAAGCTTATAAGCTTATAATATCTTTCATAAGAATGTGGTGATAACATGGACAAACTTTTATACATTCGGTCTTTATATAGTTGCGTGTTTGCAGTATATCACTTTGCAAGTGCAGAAGATGGAGAAATTCACGTATGATAAAGGCTACTGAGAATGACAATTGAAAGGTGACAAATAACCAATATCAGATAAGTATTTATGACCTGAATATTATATTCTTAATTTTAAATATAAACATCCTGCTTCTCTCCATTCCTCTCTACTTTCCTGCTAAATTAAGGAACAAAATAAATATATAAGAATTCTGTGATAAGATGCCTATTTCAGCCTTTAACTCTGATTTGAGCTATTTCATACAAAAAAAGGGTCAGAAAGTTTAGCCCCACCAATTGCTGTGACATCATCCCATCAGAAGTTCAGTTCCTATAGCCTTCAAGAACTGCTGTTTCGATTTGTACTACCCTTTGCCTGAAGGTATAGTCCCAACTACAAAATAGTTGTCTATCTAGCATTAGGGCTACATGCTCTAATACTGCTTTTATTCTAAACAGCAAGCTTAGACGTGCAGAAACTAATTCAGCAGGTAAGCATGATGACATCTACAACAGTGAAAGACATGAAGCAGACTGGTGGGTTTTGCCCTTTGCAGTTAACTTTTAGATATATTTTTTTTCATTCATAACAATTGAGAGGTAAATCTGTAAATATTAGGAAATCAAATGATTCATCTAATTTAGGCATTTGGTTAATGTAGGCGGAGTATATTTAGTATATTTTTATAGACAATTGTTTTAAAATTAAAAAGAAAAGCAAACAATTAATATTTTAATATAAAAATGTTTGCTCCAGTCTTCCGAACCGTTATGATCTGCACATGTTAGATTATAAACTACATCTGTCTGGCCACAGATGATGGCGTTTACAGTCTGTTGCTTTGGAAACAAATTAGAAAAACTTGGTTATGTACATAATTTTAAATGTTACATATATATATATATATATATATATATATATATATATATAATTAAGAAAACAAATATATATATGTATATATATTAAAAAGAATTTTTCTAATGATTTTTATCTGGAAGAAAAACACCCAACACATTTTTGTTGTTCTTTGACAGAGTGCCTCTCTGAAAGTTAAATGCACATCTTTTAAATTATACTACTTAAAGAGCAAGCTTTGCCTTATATATTATTTTAGGAAGTTAATCCTTCCTTAAAATTATATATGTTCTACCGATCATGTTGGTAGATCATGACAGTTTTGTTTCATTTGCCTCTAAAATATAAATATCACAATGTTTCCTAGAAATCAACTTAGAAAAAGAAATTATTTGTATTTATTAAGAGTGCATTATAATAATAGGAATACAGGCATTACTGTTTTAAAAAATCCAAGTGAATTAATATCTTAAGCACAATTAACAATGGGTCAGAAACACAAAATTCATTCACAGATTAACACACCTTGGATTTGTAGTTCAAACTGGATCCATGGAAAGACAAGTCAGCATGCAGTTGGGAAACAACACTGAAAGAAATGGTGCAGGCTTGTATAGTCTTTGCAGGGACCAGATTTTCTGGGTGTGACACATCAAAAACAGTTCTATAGCCCGGAGCATAACATTGTCTGCGTGGTTATTCTTAACAATGCAGAAGGCATGTTCCTACTTACCGTGGAAGTCAGATACTCCACTCAGCAACAGAAAGAAGGACAACAAAAAGTTGTACTTATTCATGTTACTTCTCTAAAGCAGATGTGATACTGCTTTCATTCTTTTGTACATTTCCTGCTTACTGCTTCTGTGGTAGATGTGTAAGATGCCTTAGGAAGATGTGCTACGTTCAGTTACTTTTAGGAAGTGATGTAATTCGGTTTGGGCCTATCAGACGAGCAAACAATTGCAAAAGGTTCCTGCAAAAGCTCTGATTCAACCGAAAAAAAGTGAACAGTGAAACTCGGTGACGGATTAAGGCTCACTGGCGCCCTAAGCACTGACAAATCTTGGTGCCCCCCATCCTTTGTACATACTGTACAAACGAAGCCAAGCTTAGGCTACTTAAAGGTTTTTGTGGTTAGGGGTAGGGTTAGGGACCAATAAGATGTGGGTCACTGTGAATATAATACACTAAAGTTGAGATCCCAAAAAAATGGTATAGACACCAATGCAGGAAAGTATGGGGCTGGGTGCTGGTTTGTTCTCCAGCTCCTTCTATATGATTAGATTCTTCCTCATTTGTTATGCAGGAGGCTACCTTATAGCAAGATAGACCACTAACCAATAAAGACGGATTAGTAGCTGCAGGAAAGTATTTTCTGGTCCTGCTATGAGGCTGACCCTGAATCTGCTGCATGACATGCCAATGCTCCGCTTCTGAGCTATATAGATTTGTCTGTATTTTTCCCAGTTTGATCATCAATGAATTGGCTTATTTGTGTATTTCTCCCTCCCACACACAGCTTTTTCCCCTCCCTCTCCTTTAATCTTATTTTTGAAGTTATCTAACTAACACTACTGTAAGCAAAGGTGCTTTCTTTTGTTAATTAGTTAATGCAAGAATTATTTTTTAAAAAAAACATAACTAAATCTTGATTCCTTTTGCACATAATTTAGAAGTCAAAATTTTCAGTTTAGCATGTCATTTAACTCCAAGTCAATTGCCATTTGGATTACTGGAAACCAGAGATTTTAAGTTTAACATAGTTGATTTTTTTTAAGTTTGATTAAATATACATAATATCAGTTTCTTTCAATTCATGACAGTTTACAGGAAATGCACACAGAGCAGATACTGCTACAAACAATAAAAGATCCACAATAAATATAATACTAATATATTAATAATAATAACATTAAAATCCTTATCATGGAATTTATGATAGACACTCCACATCCTGATCAGGATGCAATGACATTAATGGCAAGAATCATTTAACTCCTGAGGGCATTTTGGAATAATTCTGTTTTTAATACTTTCTGGATGAATATCACAAAGAATATTACTCTACTTATAGTGTTGGTGCTGCCATTTGCCATTGCCTATAGTTATCAGTTTCCTCCCTCCCTCCCTCCCTCCTTCCCTCCCTTCCGCCCTCCCTCCAATGACTTGTGAAAATATGAAATTATCAGCAGCTTTTTCTGTGATATATGTACAGGATAAGCTGAGTGTTGCCAGAGAAGAGAGTCCTAAAAAAGTTTTAGTGCAGGAGTGGCAACCTGAATTTTTTGAGGCCAGATCAGCATTGTAGTTCTTCTCTGTGGGCCAGTGGTGGCGGCAGGTGGGGGGGCGGCACGGTGGGTGGGGGGGACGGATGCCTCCTGTATCACCCTGCCGTTCTTGGGCTGTTTTTTAGCTGTTTTCAACCCATTTTGGGAGCTGTTTCTGTTTTTGACCTCTTTTCGGCCGATTTTTGGCCTGTTTTGGGCACAGTTTTTTATCTTGTTTGGGCCCGGTTTTGGCCAGCAGAGTGCTGCAGGAGGCCATGGAGGGTGAAGACGAGATGCAGGCCTCCCCGCATATGGCCCATTTTAGCCACCAGAGGCACTGTGGGCCAGTCCTTTGATATTTCCAGGCCAGCCCCGCAGGTCGGATTTAAGCACCTTGTGGGCCAGATCCAGCCCAAGGGCCTTGAGTTTGACATCCCTGCTTTAGTGTAATCCCTTAATCCTACAAAAGGACTTCATAAATCAAAACCCAACATTCTGATTTGTATTCAGAAGGTTATTGGTAAAACATGCAGAGCCTTGAGTACCAGCATAATAAGCTTTTAGACATTAATCCTTGCCCCATAACTGAGCTGATACACTTTGCACCAGTTGTGGTTTTCAAATGCTCTTCAAAGGCCAGTGCAATGGCCTGCATGTAAAGAGGTCAATACTTAGGGCTTCAGATAGGGGCTCAACCGCTGCAGCAGCTGGAGGTGGACATTGATATGACCAATGATGAGATGATACTATCAATTCCCACTAACAAAATTTTGGGCTTAGTGGTGCCATGCCAAAAGGCCTTTGTTGTTCTTGCGTCTCTTTTTGTCAGTTACGAACAATCAGATCCACACCTGAAGAGTTCAATTAGCCATTTTATTGCTCAAGCCAATAACACAGGAATCTTCTCAAACTGGCTTTTGTCCAGACTACATAAGGTTCAATAGCATTCATGGGAGTGGTGGTCAGACTTTGCCCTCTTATGTAAACGTAAGGATTGCAGACTAATTCCCCATTTAACTTCTCCCCTTGGCTCAGCCAATCTTTCACCAACACTTTTCCGCTTTAATGAGATTTTGCATATCCCTTTAGTAAAAGGTTTTCCTGAAAGTCTGCATGTTCATTACAAATACATCAATCAATAAATGCATTCAACAACCACAAGATTAGAGAGGTTGAAAGATGGATTAATCTATAATATGATTAGTTTACTTTGGCTTAGCAGTTATTGCCATCCCAGGTATTATGACTTGTAAGTTATGTTTTACAGCTTATGGTTAAATTCACTCATTGTGGTTTATTTAAAAAGCAATAGTTAAGAAAAACCATGCCTTTGGAGAAAGGAATTTTGCTAATGATTTGCCTATTTCGTATATGATCATACATGATCAAACAGGCACTCCAACGTTGAACTGTGAGTTTCTCTACATTCCTCAATAAAAATCATTATTATCACATTTATGTTCACCACTATCCCTAGAATACAAATCAGAGTTTAACTATTTTGATTGTTTTTGGATTTTGTAAGCTGTTCAAGGTCTGCTGAGCTGGATGACTACAACAAATTTAAATGACTAAATAAACAATATTTCATTTGGGATGAAGCACTTCCATTTCTGTAATGGGAAACTGAACCAGATTCAAGATACATCCAATGGTGTTGAGTAGATAGCATAGATAATAACATTCATAATTTAATAGGTAGCTTTTACAAAATATGGTTTTAATAATAATTAGTGCTGATACATTTTAGATGCATTAAAAACTCCCTTTTTATGACCCTGAAAATAGGGATATTGTTACCTGATTTTTTTTCAAGAGTACAAAGTTCATAGAACTTTCTGCCATGTTTTTTGGGTGGGGAGGCTTATGCGTAATATAACTGGAGAATAAAATTATCTGTTCAGATATCTGTAAATATAAGTCTCTGGTGGTTGTAGGTTTTTTCCCCCAACATTACAGTAGACTGATGAAGTATGATAAGAATGTAGCTGCAAGTACATTCAGCCTTACAACCTTATATTCACAATAGCCTTACTGTTCTTTCCCTGGCCTTCTCCCTGAAATTCACATTGTGTACTTCGGCATTTCAGGTTTTTCTTTCGTATTTATCTGTTGAGCATGCAGACTGCTAACAGTACAAGTTTCAGCAAGATTGGGATCAGAATTAGGGTGGAGTTATGAAGCATATTCGCTGGAGGTTGAATTTAGGGACAGAGTTACCTACAGACTGTGGGCTCTCCAGTGTGACAGCACTGAAGTGTTTTTCTCCTAGAAAACAACATTCTGAAAACTCTGTTGCTTGCATTGCCCTCTGCTGTTTTGCTTCCAACCCAACTCTTGAGATGGAGGGCGGGAGAAGCAGATCTTCCATTGTCAGTTCATTTTACAGGGTTGGACAATAGGCACTAAAAGTGGTCTCCTAGCTTACTTCTATCTCTTCTCTTGCCATACGTGATTTAACTGATAGGAATGGTGATTCAAGAAGGGTGAAAGTAGAAGAAGCAGATCTTGGAGTTAGGGACCTGCTCCTAAAAAGTCTCATTTCCCCTTTTCCCACTCCTTGCTTCTCTAAGTTTGAATGGCCAGAGAAACAGTGAGAAGAGCAACTCCTTTGGTGTCAGTGCTTTTGTCCTGTGAAGTGATTCCTTGGTAGGACCAAAGAACTGCTACCCGAAGACCCTGTATTCCCTTTCTTTAATCAAACTGATACCCTACATATTAGGATTAGGCATGGTAACACCTAATCAGGAGTGGGCTGCTACCGGTTCTCCCCGGTTCGGGTGAACCCGTAGCTAATTTTATGGCCAGTTCAGTGAACTGGTAAATCCCACCCCTGGTTGGCCCTGTTCACCCCTCCACTCCACTCCCCTCCCCGGAGTCTTCACGTGGCCCGTTTTGGATCTCAGGTAAGTACAGGGCCCATGCAGAGGCTCAGGGAGGGTGAAAAATGGGCCTGCCAGAAGTTCTGGAAGGCTGAAACAGGCCCATTTCTGGCCTCTGGGGGGCCTCTGGAGCCCGGGGAAGCCATTTTCATCCTCCTGGAGGCTCGAGGAAAGCCTCCAGAGCCCAGGAAGGGTGAAAATGCTCCCCCCAGTCATGGTGCAGGAAACCAACTAGGCCACGCCCACCATGTCCGCACCCACCCAGCAACCGGGCAGAGAACCAGTTGCTAAAAATGTTGAAGCCCACCCCTGCACCTAATCCATATGTACATATGTATTTTTGACCAGTATCCCTCCTCTGCACTGACCATCTTCTCGCCTATTTTCTTTTGGGTTAACTCTATGTCTTCCTCAATTCACCTGCTGTAATTTCTAGTTCATCAGAACAACGGCAACTCCTATTTTTCTTGCTTGCTTTAACAAAAATGTTTTGCTCTGAAGCCACTGCCTTGCAAGTGCCCACCTTTCACTTACGTATTTCACTCTCTCATCTTCTCTTATGATCCACTTGGATCTTGGATCTATAAAGATGGCACAGACTAACATTTCACATGGAAGTCACTCTCAGCATGTCTTCTTGTCATTTAAAAATAAAATGAACAATGGGGAAATTATAAGATAAATAAATGGATAGCTTCT